CTGAGGCTGGTTCAAACTGTTGTTTTCACATTCTTTATTTTTTTTTTTCCTCTTAAGAGAATATTTAAGGTTAATAGATCCTGTGAGGAATTTGTTTCCGATACTCTGTTTTTTTGCCTTAGTTTTTCATTTTCCTTTTTTCTAAATAAAACTTTTGGAAATCATATCCATTCTAGAATTAATTAGTAGAACCTTAATAGTTGACTTTCAAACTTCTGAATGGCTTTATTTTGAATTTATAAAATTCAGTATTTCAAATTCATAATGTAAGGCGAATACTTAGCAAAAAATTGTAGATTATCTAGGCCCCTGTGCAAGCTGTAACACATGTAATAGAATGAATGGTTTTATAGACAGTTGATGATAGCACTTGAAGGGTGTTCTACATGTTGCTTACGCAAACACTAGGCAGTAAATAATTTTTCAAGTTACATTATTGGACTAAATCAATCATATTGTCACATCTGAAACTCTGTATCAGTAAAAGTACAATTTGCACAGATTTAATTTGCCTGTCCTTTAACATTTTTTCTGTTCAACTTCCTGATGAAAAAGGTAACATGATCAAACTGTAAGGTACTTTCTTTTTTAAATTTTGGCAGCTTTTAAAAGGTACATATGCTTTCTGATCTCTTTCAAAATGACATTTTTTAGGAGATTCAACTTTCTGAGAAAGCTGTACTAAAAGTATATACAGAATTCCTCCGGATTTTTTCTGCAACATCACAGTAATGGCAGTGTTCCTAAAACTTCAGATTTATGCTAGGGTCATGTATAAGGACAGATAGATGGAAGAAAGTGTTTTTAAGTAGCCACTGTAGCAACTGCTAAAAAGTATATCTGTTGAATGGTTTAACATACTCTCACTGGAGAGACTGGTTCCATTAATCTGTGAAAATGGACTATAATACCAGGACCTCTTCTCTACTGGATCTATGGACATATGTGAATGACATCACAGACTTTAATTCTTTGTTATCTAACCAGGGCAGTGGACAGTTTTACTTTTGCCTCAGCTTGAGACTTTTTGTCCTAGTATGTTTTCTTCCTACTGAAAAGCTTCTCTTTTAGTAGCTGATGACCTAATTGATACTCCAGCCCTCAGCCTTGAATTGCAGAGAGAAAACATGTCTTTGATGTTTAACTCCATTATTCTTAGAGCTAGATTGTTTCTGGAGAATTTCTTGAAGGAGGGTGAGGATGGTGCTTGCTTTATTTTGATCTTCAGCAGGATACCAGTGCTGGCATTTGAGTAATTTTTGGTTATTTATTAGGATATTTTAATTCTATGTAAATCACTTCTGATATGATGCATCTTACTAAGCTTTAGCTGTTATACTGAACATCTCTCTGGTCATTTAGATTTTCCAATAGTTTTTGGTGAAAGTAATTTCCAGGAACAGTATGTACCTAAAACTCAATGCCTAAAATGGGTTGAATTATAGAGTTATCTTAGCTGATTGCCTTGGGATATGTGACTGGATTTTAGATTGTTGCCAGCAGGTGAACTGAAACCTACTTTAACACTGGAGGCAAATAGAGAGCACAGTGGTTTTGATTTCCTAGAAGGGGCTGTATACCCAGAGAAGAAGAGTTTATTTACTGTTGATAGATTCTTAAAGTAGCACTCATTTCTTAGAGTTACAGCTATGCAGTGTAAAGAGGTATGATTAATGCATGAACTGGAACATGTAATGTCACTTCCATAGATGTTAAGGTGTAAAAATTTTAAGTATATGACCTCTTACTTCAACTGGGATTTAAAAAAAAAGTGTTTAAGGGAGTTAGACATTCATCCCCCTGTAAGCCATTGTGAGGCTTGCCCTTCTAAGATTCTTCTATACTGCCTAGCCTTGAAATTAAATGTTTCTTATTATCCCAGTTTTTGTATGGATAATAACATGCTGCCTGTATTTTGAAATATACTGTTACAACATTATACTTCCATAGCTCCTAGGAGAAGGTCTAATACTTTGAGAGCAAAAGGAAAATCATTCAGTTGAGCTCTGTGGTTGTAGATAGTTCCTGTAGATAGTTATCAAGTATTTACATTTGTTCTTTTGCAGTAGTGAACCCACTGTAACATGGAGCCCAACTTTTTGTATTGTTGCAAAATACATTATGAAGGAAATTAGTCAAATTATTAAGTTAAAGGTCATTAATGATTACCATAAATACTGAATTTCTCAGAAGCAGCTCCCATTTATAGGATGGCAGATAAGATGGGGTCATAATTTATATTTTAAAATTTATGACTTGGCTAGTCCAAGGTGTGCAAAATGCTGTTTTTTGTTTGTTTATTTGCTTGTTTTCTCTGTTGTTTTTTTTTTTTTTTTTTACTATGAAAATACAGAAACAAAAAGTATGACCAGTTCTTACTGTGGTACAGCTTTTAGATAAGTTCTTAGCACCATCTTTAAGGAGGTGCTATTTAATTAATATAATTTAATTTCCAGGGCAAAAGTCTGACTTTTCCAATAGAGAAGAATTTATGAAAAGGAAATTTATAGCAGGTGTTTTGCCTTACAATTACATGAAAAATGGAAATTTTGATTCTAGTAGCAGCTGTGTTTAGGAGAAGGCAGATGTCTAACGTAAGTAAAGGCAGAAGGTCAGTTTTCCTGGGTATCTATTTGAGATATTAGACCTAGAAAACAGATGTAAATTCTGCAATTATAAAGGTTTATTTGGGTTGAGAAGTACTGGGCTCTGTGAGTGTCATGATGATTATATGTGTATATACATGAGGTAGATTTGCTGCACACAAGAGAGATGTTATCTTATTACATTTTGCCACAAGGAAAGAATAAACAGAATAATTCAGGCTGCTTCTGAAATCTCATGTGCTACATTTAAAAGATTACATCTAAGAATGCTGAAATATTTTTATGCCTTCATTCCCTCTTTTTTTCCTGTTGTTTTGAGTTGGGTTGTTGTTGTTGTTTTAAATGCTTGTATTTATAACTTGAAACATATATTAAAAGTTAAAACAAGCTTTTCTTCTAATTGCCTACACTAAGACCAGGATCTTGTCTGGTCTTGAGCCCAAAGCACTGAACTGCACTGTTAACTGAAGTGGCCAGATTTTAAAAAAAATTGATACCTCTAGCTGAAATCATCAGCTTCTGAAACACTGTCTTGGAAAAGCAGTGACACAACACTGAGTTTGGTATCCCAGATCTTCAGAATTCTCTTTCTGTAATATGGCATATTGTTTGATTCCTTAGGCAGTATTTAAGAACTTTCATATGCCCATCTTTCAATAATGCTGCTAAAGAACAAGTCTCTAGTTGAATTCAGACACCCAAATTAGGATTTCCAAGTTATGTGCAATTTTGATATAATAAAAAATAATTTAGAATTATAGGTATAGGTGCTTTATGCTCTATATTGTAAACAGATGAGCAAAACCTGATTTTGGTGTACTGTTTATCATAAAAGGTAATTCAATGATAAAGCATCAGATTATTTTTTGTAATCACATATACTATATCATTACAAAAATGTATGCATTCCATATTTTAAATTAGAAACAACTTTAAAATATGACCACAGTGCGTTACAATCCTAATTATTGAACCAAAAAGTTTAATTAGGAACACGAAAGTACACTATTAATTGACTTCATACATGCTGAAGAGAAGATAATTATTTATCTTCTGTCCCTTTCTTAAATCAAGCAAGATATTCATGCATATGAGAACATTTGTTTCACATGTACATTGAGACTGGCAAGTGGCTATGTATTTTTTGTTGCAAACAACGACTGTTAAATTCCAGATGAAACTTCATGCTTCTTTCCCAAGATCCAAGAATACAACCATACAAGAAATAGCAAATATTTCTGATAGCCACCTAACCTATAAAACAAAAACAAAGCTAAAAAAAAAAGGGAGTGGAGACTGGCACAGAAAACCAAATATCTGAGAGACCAGTGGAAACACTTGTGTAACATTAAACCTTACCTTGGGCCTTTTGCTTCATTAACTGCTTGTGTTACCGATACTGATACGCTAGATGCTGTTGCAAAACACATAGCTGGTGCAAAGAAGGGTGGTGTGACATGAAGTGATGCAGAAAACAGTAGAAGCTCTGTCACTAGTCAGCTGCAAGAAGTGACGTGTGTGAATGTACAGTATGTGGAGTTTTGTGAAAGATGCAGTCTCTCTTCCTCCCAAAGAACTTCAGCTGATGATACAAGGGGAATTCAGATCCCTTTGGCAGGGCTCCATGTTGATCTGGATGCTGCAAATACTTCTGCTTCTACAGCTACTTAGCTCATGTTGCTAAAAATATACTCATGACAGACTTAATTAAAGTATCTTCTTTTAAAAACTACTTATCTACAGCTATCATTTAATATTTTTGTCTGCATGTGTGATTCTCATTATTCTGCTAAAGCTATTAATACTGATGAAAATTAAAGAGAGAAAATCCAAATATTTTCATACATGCACTTTTCAAGTAGCATTTAAGAAAACCCACAGCTAAGCAGCTGTAAATTTTCTTGGTTTTCTTTTTTTTTTTGCTTTGTTTTATTAATTCAAGAGTAATATAGCAATACATGAAAATTTATCACAGCAGTAAGGGCTTCAGAATCCCATTAGATGATGTAATTATAATTAAAAATTAGAATTATTGAATAATTCACTTTTGTAATATGCAAAAGTATTTTTTTCTCTCATTTTCAATAACCATCAGTCTTAATATCTAACTAATGAAAAAACATAAACAGTGTCATCTGTCAAGTTGCTAACAGAGAATGCCACTTGTTGGAGCCTCATTGTTTACTTTAGCAGGTAATTTGTGGACCGGAATCATTTAATTGTTCTGAGCACATAATTACATGCCAGCCTTTTCCAATCTAATTAAAATGTACAAATCTGAAGATTAAGGGAATTTTTGAATTATTAATCATTTCTCCTCTAGGAAATCTTGTTGCTCTGCAGGAGATTTGTCCAGTGTACAACTATACGTATTTTTTTCCTTCTCTTTCACAGACAGACAATTTTCCCGCAGAGCCCAATTACATGGGCAGCAGGCAGCAGTTTGTTCAAAGGTAAGGCCTATTAAATAACTTTTTCGGCTTCCCCATTTGCATTCTTGTCAAAATTGCTTTGCCAGAGAGTACAATTCAACTCAGAACAAGTAAATACAACTATATCTCTCTCTCTTTTTCTTTTTTTATTTTCTTCTTTTTTTTTTTTTTTTAATGTATATTTCAGTAGCTCCACGTTCAAGGATCCAGAAAGAGCCAGCTTGAGGGACAGCGGGCATGGGGACAGTGATCAGGCTGACAGTGACCAAGACACTAACAAAGGCTCCTGCTGTGACATGTCTGTTAGGGAGGCACTCAAGATGAAAACTACTTCAACTAAAAGCCAGCCACTTGAACAAGGTGAGTGAAGCCTCCAATGCTTACAAAAGCGTAAAGTTTAAGCTGTCATTATAAACCTATTAGTACTGCAGTCGTAATTTATCAAGCAATAGCCCAATGATAATATTATCAGAAAAAAAAAGTAAATCTTGTAGGTAGCCAAGAGCAAAGAAAGCTCAGTAGCTTTCAGAATGAACATGAAACTGCAAGTATACAAAGCACATTAGAAAAAAAAAAAAAGAAAAGAGTAAAAACAAAATAGTACTTTTCTAAAATTATTAGAATATACTTTATCTCTACTGGCATTGCCTGTGATATATTATACACAGTCCTTATGCTAAAGTGTGCTTTGGAAATTCAAACTAGATGTGACTGCAGCAGATAAAAAGACACCAGTCACTTACATTCCTCACATAGTTTGGAGAAGAGGAAAAGAGGCTAGGGATATCAGATGAGGAAAATGGTTCAGAAATTGTTTTTATTTCATGGATATATTTTACTATTTGCAATGTTGATTTCACAATTAATAGTAGCATGACAAGTGTAAAATAATATAGTCTGATTTTCTGTACAATTTCATTTGCATCCTGTGAAAGTAACAAAGATGAGTCTCTGTGAAACATTTCAGATGACTTGTATCAGGATAATGACAGCACTCTCTGAAATCATTATTCTGACAAACAAGCATGCTTATTTCCTCAAACTCTGTGTCCAAGTAATTTTTTTTCCCAGATATTTTTTATCTAATTATGAGATCTTTTATTTCAAAAGAGACACTTCTTTTTCTAAAAGCACCAGACCGAGTACTCCAGCTCTGTGTTTGTCTTTTTTGCTTCTATGCTGTAAGCATAGATTAATAATTTAATTAATATTAAATTAATAAGAAGTTATATTTATAATTTAGCAGAAATATAGGATTTTTATGAATTGTTAATTGGACATAGGTTTTTTTTTGCCTCTTAGCTAGTCTGATCTGTAGTACAGTCATGGTATAAATATATGTTTAATTTTTCTGATCATGTTGAGATTACAATGTAATTTTTGCTATGTAGAATATTTAGAATGCTGCAGTATAATTTATTGTGTATGCTTTTGAAGGTTGACCTCATATATGACCTTATTTTCCAAGTAATAAATGCCAGAAAGATTATTTTTCAGTGACCTTTTTGCCACAGAAACTCCGTGCTTATAATTGGACATTGATCTGTGTAAAGATGCAAAAGATGCAATACTAGACTTCTTTTTTTTTTTTTTTAAGAAGCTGTTTGAGTGTCAGTCTATTTGTTTTTCAGTTTTGTGTAAGAAAAAGACAAAGTCTCTGAATTTTCTATTTATTTGTTTTTTGTTTTGTTTTTTTTTAAAAAAAAAGAGGACTGTGTGGCTGAGTTCATAATATTGCACTTTGTCCAACATCATCAAGTCCAGTTCTTGTCAAAAATATAAAAAATCTAGTAAGCAGATTCAGCCAATCATGTTGCTATTTTCATTATAATGCAAAGAGTTATATGGAGGTTTGCACTTATCTGTATCTAGATGACAGGCCTTACTCATCACAAAACAACTTACTCCACTGGTTAATATGAATTACTCATATTCTTATTAAACATATCTTGAACTGTGAATGTTAAGTTTCATCAGCCACTGAACTGCTGTAGCAGGTGTTTATGTGAATTTCCCTGATGAGAAAAAAAAAAAAAAGAGAGAGAGAGAATGAGGCTTGAGAGGTAAACTTTAAAAAAAAAAATAAAATTTCCAAAATCTAATTACAAATGGTAATGACATCCATTTGTTTACTTGTATGAAGTCTTCCATCTCAAGTGTGCTGTAATGAAATCATTGCTATTAAGAAAACTGAACCTGCAGTGAACACCTTATGGGGTTACAGAACATTGCAGTAACAAATGTAGTGCAATGTGGTGCTCCCAATGAAATTAATGATCAGCTGTCATTGAGCTTGGTGTGATTAGGGTTCTTAGCCCAAAGTAACTTTTCTCTTTTGAAAGATTATGAAAACCCCTGCTTTCTCTACTCATAAGCCAAGTTGAAGGTGGCTGAGAAATACAGTATATGTGATTAGGATTAAAAAAAGGAATTGCATTTTCTGCAGAGAAGAAGTGTTTTCCACGAAAAGGAGGTGGACAGCTTGCTAGAAACAGTTGTCTCTGGCAGTGCCTGAAGCAGTATCAGAAGTTGGGGTTGTGTTATCATTCTGGGTTGTACACAGAAATGGGAATTCACTATTTTGTGGCAAAGTTTCAGTCTTGATTATTGCTGTTTAAAGATATTTAAAATAGTTTAACTTCTGCTATTAGAACAGTGTTAATTATTAAATCTTCTGACAGTTTTTGGTAAATGAACTGTGAATTCAGGATCTTGAGATTCCAAATTTAAAAATTAGTTAAGTTTGAGTTTGACATCCTCTTTGTGTAATTCCAAACACTGTTGTTACGGATCCAATTTGCATTAAACTAGTGAAAACAGGATATGATAAAACCTCACTAATTTCACTATTTAAACATTTCATTTCAAGGAAAATATCTCCAGGTAACAAGTTCTGTCTAGTAGTGATTGTAAACATTTACACAAAAGGGAAAGAAAATGCAAATTACGTCTTATGAAATGCTTCAGAAAGCTCATCACTTGACCTTAATGGACAGAAAGGGGGAAAACCCCCAGTCTTATAATATTGATCAGGATAGTAATTTTTGAGTTAAAATAAATATGTTCCATTTTAGTTATCTCAACCATATATCCTCTTGGTGTCAATTCCCAGCCACTTGCTTCATAAAAACATCTAGCTGTCTCTTAAGCTTACTTATGCTATCTGAATCAGCTGTCTTACTAAGCAGCTTGTTCCATATGCCTACTACTCTTTCAGCAGAATGGTTTTAGATACTTTATTCTGTTTACCTTTCTTTTTTCATTTCTGTTGCTGAGACCTTACACCCTATCACTACTTAGGACAGTTTGAAATCACCCTACTTAGACATCTTACAAGAATTAATAGTTTGAATACATCTGTCAAGTTACCCATTTGTTTCACCTGAAGTGTCATGTATTTTTCATATTTTATATTTAAATAACAAAATAATAATGTTGTTACAGTTTAAACATAATAATCTGCATTTCTTTAAAAGTTGTCTAAAGCTGAAAATGATATCATAAATGATATCTACAAGGAAGGAGTACAAAAGCAATATGTACATTTTATACTTTTCTTAGTGAATCCTAGATACGTTTACCTTATAATCAGTAAAACAATATAAAGTTATGGATTTTTTTTTTTTTTTTTTTGTAGTTACTCAGAAATCATGGTCTTTGTTAGATTTTCCCAGGACTTTTTCCTTTTCATGTCATTGCAAAAATACCTAAGGGATTAAGCATCTTCAAATTCAGTAGCTTTATTGTTGAGTTTTAGCTTTATCACTGTGCATTACATCTTTCCTTCACACATTTGCTTGCTCTTCACCTCTGCGTATCATAGAAGGGGGATTTCTACAGGTGCTGCTGCCTTGTTAGTGGTAGCATAGATGCCAAGAATAAATGAAAACTGGAGACACTTCCTTGGAGGAAGAGTAAAAGGAAAGCTTTCAGCACTGGTGTCAGAGACTCCTCCAGAGATAAAAATATAACTTAATATAACTTAAAAATAACTTATTTCTTTATCATCATAACAAAAATACATTTGCATTAGTTGTGATGCAGTCCTGTATGCAACAGTCTTAGGCATAAAAACTGTATCAGTGTTATAGAATCTTTATGGATATTGTCAATCCTTGAGTTTGTCTACTGAACACGATGACAGAATGGGTCTGTGGTAACTTGTACATTTATATTCTCAATTTCTAATCAAGAATGATTCCTGAAATTGAGTATCCTGCATTATCTATCTGCATCAGAGCAAAATTATCAGAGTTTTTATCAATCAAGACTTTTTCTGACCCGTGCAATGATTTTCTTGCAATAATCTTTTTTGAGTCTGTAGCGTAATTAAAATCTGTTCTGTTTAACTGAGTGATAAGCAGTCTAGACAGATAAGTGCAGAAAGTTCATCAAACAAATTTCTACTGTCCAGCATCATGCCCAGTGTTTTCCATGCCATTGGGAATGATGGGTTCTTTTATGAGTACATCAGCTTAATGAGATAATGGAAAAAGAAAATTGTGGAGAAATATTTATTTTTTAAGTTCTCAAAGCTGGTGAAAGCCTCCACTGAGAAATTGACAGAGGCTGGGAGTCCCCCCAGAGCTGACACAACCTATGAAATGTTTCATTCAACACTGCTTCTTCCTGTAGGTTTTCTTTTTTTTCCCTGAACAGAACAACTACTATCACATTCTTTCTGTGGTCAGAATGTGAATAGCTTTCAGACTGCAGGACTTGTTCTGACACCACCTAAAAGTCTTTATGTCCAGCAATATCGTCCCTTCCAACTTGCTTACCCTTAACATGGTCAGGTAAAATGCTAACTTTCTGTTGTATGTCAGGACATGCATTCAATACCCATTCTTTACTTTCACCTAAATTTCATCCAGGTAAGCTATACGAGCAACATAATTGTATTTAGATTCTCCTTCCTTTTCTTAGTATGACAAAATTCAGACAACTCTTGTATCTATCAATTTCTATGTACTCAGAGTATTAAAGTTTTTTTTTTTTTTTTCCCTCTGTTGCAGTTATGTTGAATTTATTTCTGGTTTTAAGTTTTTAGACTGTCTACTAGTTTACCAGGCAATTTAGGTTCACTTTTCACATTTCAGTTATTTAAATACTGAGTCTAGATTCGTGATTGACACTGTGTGACCTCAGGTTGAATGATAATCAGGTGTATTTAGAAGCAGCGTCCAGTTAGTTTGATGCTTCCTCACTAGAGATGAGAGCGTTCCCATGCATAGCTGCCCTTTGTAGTGTGATCTTATATGTATCTGAGCAGCTTTGGATTTCAAGTAAGGCTATCCAGGTGAAGAAAGAAGTTAAGGAAGCAGGTGTTTGTCTTAGAAGAAGTCAGAAAAGGAAGTGAA